TATAGATGTTTGTGATAGTTTGTAGACTGTTACATATTTAATTTCCTTCACAGTAATAGCAGTATATTAGTTCTACAGTGAAGAATCTGAGAAATCCTACAGTAAAGAATGTCATTTTTATTTAGTGGTTCCCAAACTTTAAAAAATGGTTTCTTTACTAAGGAATTCATCAAAGTTATTAATATTCCATCTCAAAAAAGGACATGTGGCCACAGAATATGGAGGACATTATACTGAGTAAAATAAGTCAGTCATAAAAAGACAAACACTAGTAAGTTAGATTACAAAAGGCTAAGGAATAGTTTATACACACAAAGAAATATTCTTTGTCAGTTACAAATTAATTATTAGTGAAAGGGAATGGAGGGAAAATCAGTAAACAGATAACAGAAACAAATGAAGATGAGTGAAAGGGACAGCAATTAGAGGAAGGAATTGAGCAGCACAATAATATTAAAAAATGGGAAGGCATGGAGAGGCACACAGGAGGGATGAGTGTGTTACAATGTGGGTGAGTATTATAATGAATGCCATAAAACAAAACATACATGAATGGTGGAACAAAAAAAATCTATTCTATAAACTTTGAAACCACCCACATACATACAAACATAAAAACAGAGCACATAAATCTAATCATTCCTCAATTTCAAAGCCCTGTTTTGGGGTGGAATACCTCTTAAAGTTCACAAAAACCCAGGTCTGCTGACACGTCCTTGACAATGCACAGCCAGAGCTCTTGAAGCCATTAATTTAAGAATATCAGATGATAAGCATGTTTGCAAAATCTCTTTGCCTTCTAATTATCCACACATTTCTCATTCCCACTCCCCCACCCCCCCACACACACACTGCCAATAGGATTCAACGTATCTCTTGGTACTGCCCTATTCTCTAACAGGTTTGTGTTCTTGTGTGTCCCCAACATCAATGGAAATTCCACTGGACAAAAGCCATGCCACATGCTTATTTCATATTTCCTACCCTTGTACTCATTGTTCTAAGTGGTATAGCACTGATGTGTCAAATGCCATAATGGTTACCCATAGCGGAAAGGGTTTGGTAGAGCTCCCAGATTAAAACAGGCTTGGACTCAGGATTAGCATCCACTTCTTAAACAACAGGTCTTTGTAAACTCTATGAGCATCAGAGAAATAACAATTGTTATAGAACAGGGTTCAGATCTTTTGTTCATAGGGTCACTATGATTCACGCTCAACTCGAAGGCACTTAACAACAACAACTCCTGTCCTCAGCACTGTGTAGCTCTTAGTTAGGCACAGAAGAGGGGCTCCAAAGAGACTTCTTAGCAGATCTAAATTAATGCTTCCTTTAAAATGGACTACATTTTTAGTTACAATATTATGAGTAATTAAATGGAAGCAATTTTATTTTCATTTTCCTCTTCTTCCTTTAATTACTACTTTATTCTCAAAAATTTTATAGATAAAAGTTCAAACTCTAAAATATTTTACAAAATCAACTATTAATACTGACAGCAATGAAAACAAAAACCACCTGCAGCATATGCCGATAAAACCATGTCATTCAAAGCATCACTATAATTGAATAATGCCTGGAGCAAGTTACCCCAAACCCACTGCAATTAATCTGATCCTAACGCATGGTAACCCTGCAGGACAGAGTAAAACGACCCAGGGAATTTCCAAAGTGGTAATTCTTTATGGAAGCACACTGCTCATCTTTTTCCTGTAGTGTGGCTGGCATGTTTGAACCAATGACCTCTTAGTTAGAAGCTTAATGTCATACTCACAGTGCAGGACTACTGACTCAGAAGCTACACGTGGTCTAGGACACTTCTAGAAACCTAGAGTTTGCTCTGCCCCCACGCCATATCAGGGATCAACAGACTACAACGAGTTGTGGCAGTCAGCCTTGTTCCTTTCCTCAAGCCACAAGGCCCAAGTATCACAGGACACTGAGGAATTTGCTAGGGAACAATGACCCAATAGAGCCAGAAGTAATGACCAACCAGGGGAAAATACAATTTGTCACCAGTGCCCTTGTATAGTAGAGGCTTTGACTTAACTGCTTGAGATTCAATGAAACAAAGGTGAACCCACCGCCCTGCAACCAAAAAAACCAAATGAGCAATCTGGATGGTAGGAAAAAAAGACACTTTAATGAACACATCTGTGGCACAATGAGTATGGCCCTTCCAGCCATAATCTCTCATTCTGTGATACTAGCCTCTTTGTCATTTTTTTTTAAATAAAATTTATTTTAATTGTGATTTTTAACAAAAGTTTACAGAAAATTTGGATTTTCATTCATTCATTGTTGCACATTTCCTCCTCTCTTTTCCTTCCCCCTCCTCCAGTTCACTTTTTTCCCCCCATTCAAGAACAAGTTATTTGTTGTAGCAAGGAGGTGGGAGAAGAATGGGACACGTGGGAAGCACCACCCTATCAGAATGTATGACTCAAATCACTGCATGGGGTTTTACACCCCTGAGAGTATATATGGAGAACTCATATACAAAAGACCTATATAGATGACTGTTTGTTCTGGAGAGTTTGTTCCTTGGATTTTGAAACTCTGTCTCACATACTTTGAGCATGTGATCAGGAGGGGCCAGTCCTTGGAGCAGGACATCACGTTTGGAAGGATGGAGGGTCAGCACAAGAGAGGAAGACCCTGGATAAGATAGATTGACACAGTGACTGTAGCAATGGGAACTGATGAGGGTGGCTCAGCAAAGAGCAAGGTTCATAGTCACTGTTCATAGGGTTGCAATGAGTTGTAGTTAAACGTGACAGCACATAACAACAACAACATACAGACTGCTTCTGGGAAGCTTGTTCTGTTTCCACTCACTTGGGACACGTATCTAACCTGATTCAGCTGCCTCAAGCTTACAAGTACCCGGGCCACTGTTCACTAGCATTTTTATTATGCTAAATAGCCTACATCATCTATAATCGCATAAGCAACTTCCTTGATGGTTTTTGAGTTTCTGTAAGACTTTTCAGCTAACTACAGAATCCAAAGACACAGAGTAGAGTGGGAAGACTGAGGTGAAGAGGATATTAGTATCAGAGATGATGGATTGGAATGGCAGTTTGGTCATCTGGGATAATTTTAACCTCTGTCTTAAAGGAACTAGTCTGGTAATAATTTTTGTAAAACAAGTTCTTTTTACAAGGCTTGAGAGTTATATCATTGTAGTTATGCACATGTGCCTTTGAGTTGAAACCAACTCACAGCTGACCGCCCAGATGATTTTCAGGGGCAATAAATTTCACGAGGAAAAACTGCCCATATTTCTCCCATGGAGCAGCAGTGGATTCGAACTGTGTTCCTTTGGGCTGGTAGCAAAGATCCATGAGGCCACCACAGCTTCTTAGGTGAAGAGATGGCCCGGTCTCTATCTCCCTGGGGCTCCTCTGTTGTGAGTGGTGAGATAGTGGGGAATCTAGAGAGAGTGAGGCTGTTGCCCGTACATACACTTCCACACCATCTCTGTCCTGTCAAGGATGAACCCACCGCTGGAGGACTGTTCAGGTTACTGTGCCCAGGACTAGAGATTTACTTGCCAGTCACAGAAGTAGAACAAGGGCAATTGAAAAGTTTGTCTTGAGAGGGGGTTGGTCTTCTCCCCTTCAGATGCATCCACTGCAGTGGCAGACTCTCTGACTTCCCAATTTATGAAGGGAGTAGGGGAGTAGCCCTGACCTCAGTCCTCAAACCAGGCTCCCCAAAAGCCTGTTCACCATCAGCCTTTTCTTGACACCCTGAGGCTGTCCTCGTCTTTCCTGCTCAGCTAGCCCAGGCCACTGACTTACTGATAGTGTCAGTAATTACCTCAGAGACACAGATATCATGGTGCTTAGCAATAAGGAAACATGGACTGTCTGGGATTACATATCAGCTTCCTTATTACAGGCAATTTGAGTAAGAATATTGGGGCCATGAAAGGTGGGTAACTCATTCTGGGTCGAAAATAGCAAGTAAGCTGTTTTCCATGAGCTAACACTGATGCTAAAAGTAGGAAAAGTAAAAAGGAAGGCAGAAGGAAAGCTTTTCTTTATAAAAGAATTCCAACTAATAAGGATAGAAGGGATCACTGAAACGGAAAAAAATCACTTTTATCACCACTATAGGAGCACTCGGTTGGCACAGGACAGAGCGGAGTTTAGGGCTGTTGTACATAGGGTCGCTATGAGTCGCAGGCAACTCGACGGCACATAACAAAAACAACAATAGAAGCACTGGTGGCTTAGTAGTAAAAAGTTGCACTGCAATCCTGAAAACACGCAGTTCTAATCCACCAGCTGCTCTATGGGAAAAGGATGGACAATCTCCTCCAGTAAGATTTATTGTCTCTGAAAACCCACTGGAGGGTCAGCTATGTGTCAATTCCAACTTGTATTGTGACAGCACACACCACAACAGTGTAATGATGGAATGAGGTTAGAATCTTTAATTGATGCTAACACCAACAGGTGAAAGATGATCACAGTACAGAATGTGCATAATCTGCCAGATACAAACTTAACCAGATAACCATGTTAAAAATCACCAATCCCAGGGCAAACACGAGAAAGATTCTATGCCGCTGCTGCAAGTCTCCTGTGAAAAATGTTTAACCTGAATCTACTTGTGAGGAAAACTTACAGATTAGATTAAAACTAAAGAAACCAGACAACCAACTATGATATATGATTCTGAATCAGGAAAAAATAAAGCGTGAAAGATATTACTAGGACAATTCAAAAAAGGATCATTTAATATATAAACCAAAAATGCATATACCCACACAGATGCACAAGCACACACACAAGTACTAATCAATAGGAGAAGGAGAGGAAAAGGAAAAAGGGCAAAATGTTAATAACTGGTGAACATAGGTGAAAGTGCTGACTCTATTATTCTTTTACCGTCTCTACAGGATTCAAATGGTTCAACTTGAAAGAAACAAATAGGTCCTATCTGCCCTTGAAAAGCAGTGATGTTACGGCTGCCAGAGGCATACTCACCTGTCAAGTACTCCAGGACGGCAGCCATGTACACAGGTGCCCCCACTCCAATCCTATACTTGGGGTGGCCCTTCTTAATGTACCGCAGCATCCGCCCTACAGGGAAGATGACTCCTGCCTTGGCAGACCTTGAAGTTTTGGTGGACTTCTTCTTCCCACCCCGACTGGACATGGTGGTGGCCCTGAAGGTAGATCAGCAAGAGCACTGTGAAAGCAAAAGGAACACCTGTCAGAATCACTACAGACACAGCACCTCTTCCCTGGACATTGTAGCCTACTGGATGGCATCAGTGTCCCAGCAGATGCCACTGTCCTGCAGCCACTGAGCCTGTGGAGGCCAGTACGCTACTGGAGTGTGGGGCCTCTGAAAGTCAATGGCTCAGCTGTTCACATTCTATACCTTGACATCAATTACATTATCCACTTCCACTTAAGTGTTACTCTGACAATGACTTTTAAGCACCTTGCCTTTATGCCACACACTGTAAAAGAAAGTGGAATTTCTTGGCTCTGTTCTATACACTTGCTTAATAATTGCATTTTTATACACTTGCAATTGGACCTGATAAACTTGCCAAAGCCATCATAAAAAGAAAACTATGTAACCACTCACAGCCATATTGGACTAAGAGGCTCCCTGAATACTTCCAGTCTATTAGGCCACCTAGAAAAGGAAGAAGTATTGGGTCTATCCCTTCTCCCAACCTACTTTCAAAGAGTCCTGAGGATGCCTCCAACATTTCTTATACTGCCTCCTCTCTGCCCTCAATAAGACTCAGTCCAGGCCATGACTATCATAACCAAATGACCACAGAAGTCTCTTGGAAAAGATCTCCCCCATTGCTAGCCCCTAAATCCTTTAGTCTACTTTCCACTCTGCTGTGTCTTTGTGCACACAGATTTGAATATACCATGGTCCTAGTCCAAAAACTTTCTGTGGCTTCCCAGGATTCACAAGATAAAGTCAAGTCCCTTGGCCTACCTAGTGGTGCTCTATAAACTCCTTGTGCTACTTGTGTTCTAACTTGGACACAAGGAACCACACGAAGGTTCTCCAAAATGCTTACTTCTTTCCTCCCTGTCTTTGCAGCAGTGGTTCCCTTTTGCCAGGATCTCCTTTCCCCTGTTCTGTGCATCCAGTCCTGTTCCAAACCTTCATGTCTATCTACTCTAGACTCTGAACTCTCACATGCTCCTAACTGGATTCCTCATGTTGTCCTTTGCAGTAAAGTTGCAAGTGTTTGCTGAAAGCATTCAATTCATCCATTCACTTCAGGAACTATAATGGGGAATGATAACAATGCGTAAGAAACATGTGGGCCTTGCTCTACTAGAGTTTAAAAAAAGTCAAGCTCACTACTCCCATGTGTATCCAACTCACTGCAAGACTTAACTGGGGTTTGTAGGCTGTCAAGCACAAGGGAGGGGACTGCCTATCATTCTGCTAGGCAGCCAGTGAGTCTGTGGATTCAAAGGCCAGAAAAACATGCCCTTTGAGTTAACAGCACATACACAGTATGCAGTCCATACTATTGACTATACTGTCAGAGTTCCTAAAAATAAATAACCTTGCAGTCATTTAAACTATAATCATACTGAGTACCTCAAAAGGGAAGTTCAAGTGCTGAGGAAGGGTGTAGGATGTAGTTCCAGGCTCCTGCGGGAGACCTGGAAAGTGTTCACTAATGGACATTTATGCTCAAACTACTGAACTAAATGGGTAGGCCTCTTATTTATCTATTTGGAAACTGAAATCAGACTCCATGGCTCATGGGTTCCTTGAACTCCAGCAGCCCAATGTCTCTATTACTGGAGTGGCAGCAGAGCTAAGAGTTCTTGTTACTCTGTTCAAGCTACCCTGACTGTACCAGGTTGATCCCCTTCTTTAGAATTCTGTGGAGGTATGGACAACTGTGACCAAGCACCAAAGTGAGAAGAAAGTATCTCTTTGGGAAGTGTTATGGAGCATCATGATTACGAAGTAAAGTTCCAGAAACAAACTCAAAATCAAGTCACTGACATGGAGTTGGAACTGACTCAAGGGTAACACTCTAATGGGTTTTCAGAGGCTGTAAATTACATGGAAGAAAACTGCCTATTTTTCTCCCATGGAGCAGCTGGTGGATTTGAACCACCTGCCATTGGTTTGGCAGTGCAACTTCTTAGCTACTAGGCCACCACAGCCTGTTCAAATCATGGCTCCATCACTTACTTCCTATGTTCCCGTGGCCAAGTTATTTAACTTCTCAGTGTATTTTCTCATCTGTGAAGCAGAAATGATACTAGAATGGACCTCAAGAGCAGACAGGAGGACTGAATAAGAGTTTAACCGTTTTAAGCATGTTTAACAGTTTTAAGACCTGATTCCATTACACAACAACAAATAAATGGATCTGATACTCTCTGAGTGAATGCTCCATAAAGTTAGCCCTAAAACAGTAACAATGTGCATAAGATTCAACAATAAGTCCATCTTGATAGAGAACTCATTTTGGGTAGTTGTACTGATGACAGCAGTCCTAGGTGCCACAACAGGTAAGCCCCTAAAGTTTACTGCTCACTCATGAAATATCCAAAAAGAATGTCCATGCTTGGTTGGTACTTTTCCATACGATGATTCATATATCCTAGACTTTTTCCTTCTTGTGACCAACACCTTCATCTCGTGATTTCCAAGGTTTCCATGGAAGGGAAAAGACTATGAGAGATAACATGTGAAAATTTTCACAGGTCCAACCTAGAAGTGGGGCACATCACTTCTGCCCATGGTTCACTGACTAATTGTAAGGCAAGTTGAGAAATAAGTTCTATCTTCCTTGTTCAGAAGAAAAGAGGAAACAACTATTTTGTTACATGATTCAAATTAACTTGACAGCTGTTAATGAAGTTAGCAGCCCAAGCCTCCTAGGCCCTTTTGACCCATGTCCTGCATACAGTCTGATCTGACAGATGAACAGTTCTACATGATCAAGAAGTGGATTTCTATCTAAGTACTCAGTGTCTCTTCAGGGCATTGAAACTGCCCACAGGAGAAACACCTACATGAGGTAGTAAAAACTGAAGGGGGTGGGGTAAGTGTAACCTTCCTTATTGGAATAACTATCAATAAATAACACTAGGTAACCTTACCCTGCTGAGAGCCCTACATGCTTTAAGACAGTGTTGGTCTTCAGGTCACCCTGGCATCCACGTAATTATACACAAGCTTGTATGCTTTTCTGTTTTCAGGCCACCAAGTGAAAATTTTGTGGTTGATACTGAAGAGATCTCTGTGGTCTTCATCTCTGAAACTCCTTCAGCTATAAATCAATCACAATAAATAGAACCTTGCTTGTGGAACCTCAACGATTACCCCACATACAGATAGAGATGAACCAGCTAGAGATACTATAGGCAACTGAGCTGTGACCAGAGCAACATGGTTTGTCTTCCTATCACTGGAAGGCTTGCAGCTGTGAGGATCTGGTAAATAAAATGGATGCACAATTGATAAGAATTTGTCAACAAGAAACCTAAGACTTTTCCTGTTACTATAAACCACTTCCTCTGCCACCTCTACCCCAAAGCATATGCCATCTGCTCTGGCTACAGTAGTCTTTCCATCTCCATCTGGTCAATCCTATGCAGTGGTTCCAACACCTTCTGTGGTGGTGCAGTCTCATCAAGGAGCTCCTTCCTTTACACTCTTATGGTACTTGTATCTGGAATCCCAAGTTACAGCAAAGTTTCATGCAATCTGACACCTAGACATCATACGGTCCTAATGACTTCAGCCCATCTCTCCTGCTTCCAACAACCAAACCTCCACCAGGATGAATCACTTACATGTCTCTGAGAGAGGGCATGCCTGCTGTCAACCCTGGGCACAGCTAAAAACCATTTCTCCTCTTCCTTCACTCACTCTTATTCTTAACTATGTTCAATTACTTTTCTAAATCTTATATAAAGTACTTTGCAACTGCAGTGTCCCGGTCTTCCTACCAACCTGTTTGCCACTCTAAATCCAATATATGAATTCTTCTGTTATTGTTAGGTGCTGTTGCATCAATCTCGACCCATAGTAATCCCATCCGGCAGAAGAGAACTGCCCCATATTTGTTTTTCAACTGTAATCTTTATAGGACAAATCACCACATCGCTCTCACACAGAACTGATGCATGGACTTTAGCATTTAGGTTAGCAGTTAAGTATTTAACTATTCCTTATACAAATTCTTAAGCCCAGCAATCTAGCCTTTGCATTTATTACATGTATCACCACTGCCTATCTTGATGGCACAGACCAGACTATTCTGTTCACTACTGTTTCTTTAAGATCCATTGCCCTGCCTGGTACCTGGTAGGCCCAGAAATGCTGACTGGCTGGTAGCTGACATACAGTTGGCATGTACAGGTGATGGAGTTCCTTCAGAAAGTTAAGACAGCATTATCAAAGGTCACAGCACTCAGAGCTGTGACAAGTGAGATAGCCAGTTAGGAGCCTTTTCTGGGGCACACACACAGCTGGACAAGTCCCTGTGGGGATCTAGACCCTTAGGTTTCAGTGCGCTTATGGAGCCATCCTGGGGGTTCCTGGAAAAACAATGTCCACTTGTCTTTACAGCTGGAGAATGAGACATACAGAGGTCTCACAACTCCATAAAGAGTCTGCCTCTAGTGACTTCTCCTCTTGCCACAGACCAGAAAAGAGCATCTTTCTTCCTCTCACCTGTAAGAAGACCAATCCCTGTTAAACCTGCAGCCAAAGAAAATCCTTAAACAATCAAGGCATTCACAAAACTATGGGATGTTCAAGTGTAGGATCTTTTATCATTTAAGCAATGAATTTAGGTAAATCAGTCCTCAACACAATATTGACTGGAACTGCCAGGGATGGAGTAATCTGAACTATCAGTGCTCAAATCGCTGTTGACCAGAGTACTGTCCCATCTATTCCCTGCAGTTGGTTAAATACCCATGTACTCACACGCATTTGTCACTGTACCATCAACTCCAGTCACAAAGGCAAACTTGAGACACTTAATTTTGAAGCACAGGGCCCTAATCCTGTTTACAGCATTTTCTTCCCTTTATTCCTATCACACGAAATGATTAACAGTGTCACTGCTGTCATGTCCCCAGAGGCATGTGGATATACTACACCACCATCACTCACAGAGCAGGGGTTCACAAGCTGCACTGATTGGTTTACGACAGAGACCGGCT